GATGAAGATGTTAAGCAGTGCTGGTCCCAGTACACACACCCCTGAACATCTGAAGGGACATAAACTTATATAAACATAAACTATCCCTTTTTTCTTCTCCTGTTATCACCAATAAAAAGTATTTCAGTCAATACTTTACAGAGTCCAAGTGCCGTTCTTACTGAGATCCATGACAACTGCTTGTTCTGGTGCATTACACCATTTTTGCAGCCGTTGAGGGTTATAATATACATCCTGCCAAGCCCAGCAGAGCTGGGCTCTCCAGAAGTGTTGGGGAAAATGACATAGTTGAGTTGCGGCCATGAACAGTTCAGAATTGAAATCCAACAGGGAGCATCGTTTCCCTAGAGCTCCCCTACCCTCACATTGCTGTGAAACTGGGTTAAAATATCACCATTATTTCAACAAGGAAACAGTCACAGCCCCTTTTGGGTGTGCTTCTTCCCTCCCCTTAGCGTGTTGTTGAATGGTCCATGGGTGAAGCTGCTTTGGCGGCAGCTTCCAAAAAGCGTGAATGAAAAGTGCCCTCTGTCTCCTTTCCCTTTCAGTGGTGCATGGGCCAGGCACCCTGCCTTGTGCAGGGCCCAAGTGCAAATGAAAGGGTGGCTGGGGCTAGGTGGGATTGCCTGAGGCTAGCTGTGTTCCTCTGGGTGCTGATTGATGTCTCTCAGCTCTGTGTCAGGTGGCTGCTGCCTTATGGATTGACTTTCCTCCTCACCTGGCTGAAAATCATCCTGTTGGTGAGAAACCACAGCTATTTCATTGAGCTGGATTTATGCAGCAGAAATGCTGGCTCTTATCCCTTCTGCTCTGCTGGCTTGAGACAACCAAAGCAAGGAGCTACTGTTCTGAATAGTGAATATTACGCTGAAATTGTTCAGCATTTCCAAAGTTGTTCTGTTGTCTTGGAGAAATGAGGCTGTGGGCGTTAGTCCAATCCTTTGTTATGTCTGAATGTATTGAATGGGATCAGTGAAGTTTCACAGAGCATTAGAAGCCCTAGGTTATTCAGGTCCTGTAAGTTTCCTGAAAAGATGTGTCTGCCTGGAAGAGAGAGATCCAAATGGGTGTCCCCACAGAGGGAACGGCAATCCAAGGCAAGCTCTGCGGTGAGGCATCAAGCAACATCCAAACACAAGAAAAGCCTCGATAAGTGTACATATCTTTTTAGCCATGCAGTCATCCAGCTCTGAGACAGAGCTGCTGGCATCTCTTAGACTCAGCAATTTTTTTTCACATATTCGTTGATACAGATGATGCTAATAAGCAAGCTGCATGGCCTGAACTTCAGTCAGGCTTGTGGCTGGAACAGTCAGTTGTTTTTTGTCAGATGCTGGTGTCCAGCTTTGATTTCCCTGCTGGGAAAACCCTCCCTTTAGGCTGCTGAGAGTGATTGCTGGCTGAGAAGCCCATGAGCTTTTGAACTGAAGGGACTAAATTTATTAACCTTGTTCATTAACTGCAGCTGGTTTGGCTAAGAATAACTTTTTAAGGCACAGATAGGAGGAATATGAGAGCTGAATAACAACGTAAATGGAATACTTTGGGTTACAGGTCCCAGTTGACCCAAGTGGCATGGACCAAATAGCGTCCTCCTCAACAGGGAATGAGCTGGTGGTGTTGGCACACATTCACCGGCAGTCGGGGCTTGTTGACAGTCATTCTGAGTGATATAAAGTGTGCTAAGGAGGAAAGGGAGTGGTTACTCTAACTTTGTATCTGTTTGTTATAGGCAATCATCAAATATTTACAAGATCAAGGAGTCCTTATCCTCCTCACATCCTCTGCCTTGGCACAAGATGATGGTAAGACATGGCTGCATAGAAACCAATATCTGCGCTTAAATAAAAAATGTGCTTAAACCAATGCTCTGTTTTAGAGATGGAGGATGGGCACCCTCAACCTAAACAAAACCTCTTGCTTTCTTTCATAGGGTTCACCCCTAAGGAGCCCATCAGCCTCCTGGCCCTGTTTCTGTTCACCTCATCCCGGTCGGTGTGCCTGAGAGGTAGGGAGGTTCCCTTTGCTGGCTTCGGACACTGTGTTTTGGGTGTGGGATCCTCACCACAGGGTTCTCACAGACATGTTCCTCTTGAAGAGCTGATTTCTCTGCTTGGAACCACCTACAGCTTTAGCACAAAGGATGTTAGGAGAAAAAAGTCCCAACTCTCTGGCTATGCTGCATTTTAAGCCGATCTAAACCAGGTTCCCTGCCTTGCCCATTCGCTGCACATCTTTGCCTCTTTACAGGAAGATGATGGGAGTGAAAAGTAATTACTTTTGTCCCTCTCAGCCAGTTTTCAGCAACATCCACTCCCTGAACTGTCTTATGTGTGTGCATGGGAGTCTGACTCCTGCAGAGCCTGGCTTACATCCCTAAAGGTACCGGAGCTATGCTCAGGGACAAAATGACACGTGGCACTTGCTGGGTCCTGCATGGAACTAACAGGACTTGCTAAACCAGCAGGAAAACAGCCCTAAAAAAATAAGTGAATTGTTTCCTGCTGCGATACACGTAGTATGGG